TCACTTCATTGGTGGTCAGGATCAGGGCCCTGGGTGGTACACTGCCAGCTCTCCATCGGTGTTCACAATGGAAGAAGATGATGGTTTAGAAGTATTACTGGGCGCAGAATGAGCCCTGGCAAGAGACTGCGTAGAGGGCGTACTGACGAGGGAGGATGCAGTGACAGGAGCTGGTGGTGAGTGTGGGAGTGACGGTCTCCTGAATTTGGTTCCTGGTAGGATTCACTCTGTGGGCCAAAGTCTGGTTATCCACAGGACAACACTCATGTGCCCCGCTCCCAGATAAAGAAGGAAGACCCTTGCGCACCAGTTGAAGATTCCCACCTCACTTTCCAAACCCCATTCCCCTCCTTCCACAGAGGCAATACCCATCTGAGTTTGGTATGTTACTTGCTTTTCCATCTTTCATGTTTTGCTACATACGTTCTCTACATAATGGTGTTCTGTTTTGTTTTGCATGTTTAAAAAGCTTTTTGTAGAGTCAAAAGAGAACCTACAGATTGGGAAAAAATATTTGGTAATAACATATCTGACAAGGGACTTATCTCTAGAATTTATAGAACACTCCAACACCTCAATAACAAAAAGACAAACAATCCAATTAAAAAATGGGCAGAAGATATGAATAGACACTTCACCAAGGAGGATATTCAAGCGGCCAACAAACATATGAAGAAATGCTCACGATCATTAGCTATTAGAGAGATGCAAATCAAAACAACAATGAGATACCATCTTGCTCCAGCACTAGTAGCAAAGTTCAACAAGACAGAAAATAACAAATGCTGCCGAGGTTGTGGAGAGATTGGGATTCTCATACACTGCTGGTGGGACTGTAAAATGGTACAACCATTGTGGAAAGCAGTATGGCGATTCCTTCAAAAGTTGGAAATACAAATACCATTTGACCCAGCCATCCCATTACTACGTATATACCCTAAAGAAGTGAGAGCCATAACAAGAACAGATATATGCACGCCGATGTTCATCGCAGCACTATTTACAATAGCCAAAACTTGGAAACAACCTAGATGTCCAACAACTGAGGAATGGATAACCAAACTTTGGTACATTCACACAATGGAATACTATGCAATGCTAAAGAATAATGTAGAATCTGCAAAACACTGCATAACGTGGATGAACTTGGAGGACATTATGCTGAGCGAAATAAGTCAGTCACAAAAGGACAAATATTGTATTAGTCCGTTATTGTAAAAGTTAAGGAAAGGTTTATGTATTGGAGGACATTTTCTTTGTTGGTTACCAGGGGTGGGAGGGAAGGGGAGGGAATGCTGTTAGATAGATAGAGATAAATATTGATTTGGGTGAAGAGAAGGGCAATGTACCAAATGTGAGTGACCAATATGGCAGCATTGAGGATGAGAAAGACAGAGAGAGTTACATGGGCAGTACAAACAACAAATATGAACCCCTTTGCATATACAATACTGAGTTGTCAGTGAAAGCAAACATGGGTATAGGGACAGATAGATGGGTGAACAAGCTAAACAATTAGGTATGTCTAAATGGAGAGTGTATCCAAGATCATATACAGGGTTGGCAGACAATGGGCCTATAAGTTCATGTGAATGATCAGAATTCCCAGGTATATAGTAGAGCTGACAAGGGGCAAGGTTATGGTCATTACTTGGTCACAGCCAGCTACCCAGAGGGACCGAGTAGTTGATCCTGTGGGCTTGGGACCATAGTCGCAGGGGACATCAAACTCAATTGGCATAACATACTATACAAAACATTGTTCCACCTACTACTTTGGCGAGTAGCGACTGGGACCTTAAAAGCTAGGAAGCTGCCATCTAGATGCAACAATGGGTCTCTCCTCGTCAAGAAGAAAGAAGAAAACCAAAATTAATGGAAACAATCAGTCCTAGCGACTGGTACACCATCCGATCTGCAACCTATACAACTATGAGACCAGAAGAACTAGATGGTGCCCAGCTACCACTGCCATCCACTTGGAAGGGATGTAGGAGATCCTGCATAAAGAGGGAGAACAATGTGGTACAAAACTCAAAATCATTTGGAGGCAAAAAAAAAAAAAAAAAAAAAAAAAAGAAGGTGGGGACCAGGTTTGCTGGTCCAATGGAGCCTGGTGTAACCACTGAGACTATGGCCCCTAGCTGCCCTTCAGGTCTGGAATTGAACCCACAACTGTGGTTTCCAGCCAAACAAAATATAGGCATGTGAGTTAAACATTTACCTCAAGTAGACACACGCCCTGGAGAGAACAATCATGGGAGAAGGAAGTGCTGCTTATACACAGGGAGATAGCTCAGGGTGCAGAAGAGTATGAAGGGATGGACACTGGGAGGAGGTAACTATGGGGAGGAAGTGGGAGGGGAGCTGCTGCATTGTAAATTTTGGTCAATGACATGAGACAAAGTATATGTGAACTGCTGTATGAAAAGTGAATTTACTCTGTAAATCTTCACCCAAATCCTAAAAAAATAAAGAAATAAATAAAAAATACAAAGCTTTTTGTATGGGTTCATAAGGTACATATCAGGAGCCCTGGGGACGTAATGGCACTTGGGTGCTAACCGAACGGTTGGTGGTTCGGACCCACTCAGCAGCTCCACGGGAGACAGACCTGGTGATCTGCTTCCGTGAAGAATCCAGCCTAGAAAACGTGGGGCATTTCTACCTTTGTCATGTGGGGTCACTGTGAGTCAGAGTTGGCCCCATGGCACCTAACAACAATCGCATGAGACACAGTCTTCTGTTTTTTTTTTTTTTTTTTTCTGCTTAATAGTATGTGCTTGAGGTTCACCCGTGAAACAATTTGGCAACACCTGGGGGATTTGAAAGGAGTGCTGGTGGTTTAGTGCCTAAGGCATTTGACTGATAACCAGAAGGCTAGCAGTTCAAACCCACCAGCCACTCCTTGGAGGGAACACTGGGCAATCTGCCTCTGTAAAGACTTAACTGCCTTGGAAACCCACATGGGGTTGCTGTGAGTCAGAATCGACTCGATGGCAGTGAATTTGGGTTTTGAGGGGAGCTGAAGGAGTCCCTGTGTGGGATGCCAACAGTCTACTTCCAAACTACTGTGCAAACGACTGCTAATTGAAAGGTTGGTGGTTCAAGCTGACCCATTTTTCTGTTCTCCAGCTGATGAATGAGGAGCTCTGGTGGTGTAGTGGTTAAGGCATCAGGCTGTTAACCAAAAGTCAGTGGTTTGAACTCACCAGCTGCTCTGCAGAAGAAAGATGAGTCAGTCTGCTTCTGTAAACATTTACAGCCTTGGAAACTCAGCGGGGCTTGCTATGAGTTGGAATCAACTTGATGGCAGGGAGTGTGGTTTTTTTGGTGAGTGATGGCTATTTAGGCCGCTTTCCAATTTTTGCTGTTCCAAACAAGGCTGTTTTGAATGTCTTCATTCCTGTCTCCTGGTGCATCTGTGTGAAATTTCTCTAGTCCACGAGCTGGCAAACTTTCCTATAAAAGATTCAGTAGTGAATATTTTAGGCTTTGTGGCCTTGTGGTCTGTGTTGTAACTACTCAGCTCTGGCATTGTAGCCAGAGAGCATCCCCAGACGCTATGTAAACGAATGCATGTGGCTGGGTTCCAGTGAGACTTCCGTGATAGAAGCAGGCTGTGGGCAGGATGCGGCCCATGGGTCCTACTCTGCCCACCTGTGTTCTAGACTGTGCACTGGGTTGTGGAATATGCTCATGTCTGCTCTCCTTAACCAGTTACTGGTTGCTATTGAGTCAGTTCTGATTCCTGGTGACCCCGTGTGTGTCAGAGTGGCCCTGAGCTCCAAGGGTTTTTTCAGTGGCTGACTTTTCAGAAGCAGGGTGTCAGGTCTTTCTTCCAAGGCACCTCTGGGTGAGCTCTGACTGGCTGAGCCTGTCACCTGTTTGCACCACCCAGAGACTCCTTGCTTGTTAGTGGCTGTCAAGTTGATTATGCCTCCTGGTGGTCCCATGTGTGCAGAGTAGAACTACAGTCACTATAGGGTGGTTTGCTTTTTTTTAATTGTGATTTGGGTGAAAGTTTACAGAGCAAATTCCCATTCCATACAGCAGTTCACACACACATTGTCTTATGACATTGACTGTAATTTACCCCAATGCAACAACATCCCTCCCACTTCATCCCCATAGTTACCTCTTCCCTGTGCCTATCCCTGTGCATAAACAGCCCTTATTTCTCCCATGATGGTTGTCTCCAAGGAGTGTATCTACCTCAGGTACATGTTCAACTCCTATGCCTGTCTTTTGTTTGGCTGGAAGCCACAGGTGTGGGTTCAGTTCTGGACCTGAAGGGCAGCTAGGGACCATAGTCTCAGTAGTTCCACCAGGCTCTATCAGACCAGCAAACCTGGTCCCCCCCCCTTTTTTTTTTCTGAATGATTTTGAGTTTTGTTCCACATTGTTTTCCCTTTCTATCCAGGATCTCCTACATAGATCCCCCTCTGAGTGGTTGACAGTGATAGCCAGGCACCATCTAGTTCTTCTCGTCTCATAGTCATATAGGCTGAGAATTGCATGGTGTACCAGTCACAAGAACTAATTGTTTCCATGAATCTTTGGTTTTCTTCATTCTTCTTTGCTCTGGACGAGGAGAGACCCATCGTTGCATCTAGATGGCAGCTTGCAAGCTTTTAGGATCCCAGTGGCTACTTTGCCAAAGTAGGAGGTAGAACAGTGTTTTGTGCAGTGTGTTATGCCAGTTGACCCTGATGTCCACTATAGGGTTTTAAGGCTTGCTTTTGGAAGCACATTGCCAGGCTTTACTTTTGAGGTGCCTCTGGGTAGGCTTGACCCGCCAACCTTTTGAAAAGTAGTCCAGTGCTGGACCATGTGCATGCCACCCAGGGACTCCTTCAACTCCCCTAGGTGATGACAAATTGCTTCTAAAGTGAATGTCCGAAGCTATGTTTTGAGTGTTTCCCATGGTTGTCTGAGGGTGGCCAAGTCTCCATGTGGTCCTCAGTGAGTTTTAATGATGGTCTTCTGTCTCTTTGCAGAGCTGCATGCTTCTAGGAGGCCGGAAGACCACGGACATCCCTTTGGAGGGCTACCTTCTGTCTCCGATTCAGAGGATATGCAAGTACCCCCTCCTCCTCAAGGTGAGGTGCTCTCTGACGTCATGCCCTGTAATTGAAGTGACAAAACCCAGGTCCAACTGGTTTAAGGAAAAAATAAAATTTGTTAGTGCCAGTAACTGCAAAGCCTAATGGCAGTGTTGGCTCTGAGCGAGGCTGGCTCCAGGGTTCAAATGAAGTCCCCGGGACCTTGTTCCTTTCTCTTTTGTCCGACTCTGCTTTCTACTGTTTAGCTTTGTTTTCAGTGTGGTAGCAGCAGATGGCTTTAGTTACCCTGGCTTGTACCTTCTCAAGTTTAAGGTCATCAGGAAAGCATGAACCTCACTTCTAGTAGCTCTAACAAAAGTCCTGAGACTTTCATCTCAGGTTTTGGCCACCTGTGGCCAGGGTAATGTGATATTTGGGATTGTTTGCGCCTCAGTTGAATGTGAATCACAATACCTTACTCTTGATCCAATGACTGTGGTGAGCTGGGTAGTGTTTTGCTTTGATTGGTTGAGACATGGTCAGGTGTTCAACTTCTGATCCAATGGCAATGAGTAGGGCAATGTTGTGCTGTTACTGGCTAAGATCTAGGTCAGGTGCTTCATCCCTGAACCAATTAGTCTGAGCAAGGGAGCTCTGATTGGCTCATACTTGACTCATGTTCTCCAACCTGGAACCAATCACTAGATCCCATAGCCCACAAGACTGTGGGTAGGGACAGATGGACCCCTCACACCAAAATCTGGACTGTTTGTGGAAGAGGGGAGGTAGATGCTAGGTGGGTGAGCAGACAATCACTGCCCACACAGCTGTTGTTACCTGACATCATAAATCCAAACCAAACTCATTTGGTTTGTGTCCTGGTCAGGACACATCAGGTCAGGGGGAGGATTTGGCTGTTTGTGTGGGCACCTGAGAAGTCTTGAGTCTCAGCTTCCAAGCCTGCTTCTGGGCAGATCTTGAGCTGAGTGGATGGCTCTTCTGTCAGCCACTGCTCTCAGCCCTTGGAAATGGCAGCTGTTGGTCCCAGCCTGCCCTGACTCTGTCCTAAAGATCTACCATCTGACTGTTCCCTGGTGGTTTGCTGCTGGGGTTAATTTGCCTGGTGATGCCTCATTCCTGCTCCTGCTCACAGGGGCCTCGTGTGCCCTTTCTCAGTGAAGTGGAAGAAGGAGGAGGAAGAAGGCACTATGGCATTCCTGAACTTGACTTTCTGCTGGAGGAAGTGGGTGATGAAACCCTGGCCATGAGCTCTGTCCAAGAACTGTACCATGTGCAGCCCGGTACAGGGCAGCACAGTAAGGGGTGGGACACAGCTCTCCCCACACCTCCTCTGGCCTTGTGCTGTTGATCCCTTACCAGGCCCCCAAAAGTTCTGCAGTTGTTCTGGCAGCTGCCTTTTTTTTTTTTTTTTTAATTTTTATTGTGATTTGGGTGAAAGTTTACAGAGCAAATTCACTTTCCATACAGCAACTCACATACACTTTGTCTCATGACATTGACTGCAATTTTCCACAATGCAACAGCTTCCCTCCCACTTCCTCCCTGTAGTTACCTCTTCCCTGTATCCTTCCCTCCCATGCACTCCTGCCCCCTGATCTGTCTCCCTGTGCATACACCGCCCTTCTATTCTCCCATGATTGATCTCTCCAAAGAGTGTATCTACTTAATGTAACTGTTCAGCTCATAGGAGCTGGAAGCCACAGGAGTGGGTTAAGTTCCAGACCTGAGGGGCAGCTAGGGGCCTTAGTCTCAGTGGTTCCATCAGGCTCTATCAGACCAGCAGACCTGGTCCTTTTTTTTCCTCAATGATTTTGAGTTTTGGTCCACATTGTTTTCCCACTCTGTCCAGGATCTCCTGCACTGATCCCTTTCTGAGTGGTTGAAAGTGGTAGCCAGGCATCATCTAGTTCTTCTGGTCTCATAGGGTATAGGCTGAGGATCGCATTGTCTACCCATTGCTTGGACTAACTGTTTCTATGCATCTTTGATTGTCTTCTTCTTTGCTCTGGATGAGGGGAGACCCATCATTGCATCTAGATGGCTGCTTGCAAGCATTTAAGATCCCAGTTGCTACTCGTCTGGTAGCTGCTTTGACCCCTTGGTCTGGAAGAAATTCCAGCTAGAGTTCATGAGTTGGTAGCCTGTGGATGGAATTGGCCTCATAGATGTGTTTCATTTGGCCTGTTTGTTGTGTCTTCAAAACTTGAATTAGTTGCCAGCATTTATGATGTAGTGGGTAGCTCTGGTAGCGTAGTGCCTAAGGCATTTGACTGCTAACCAGAAGGCTGGTGATTCAAACCTACCAGCCACTTCTCAGAAGGAAGATTGGGCAATCTACTTCTGTAGAGATAATGCTTCGGAAGCCCTAGGAGGGGTCACTATGAGTCAAATCAACTCGATTGGCAGTGAGTTTGTTTTTGGCTTTTATGATGTAGTGAGGAGCTTTAGTGGCACCACAGTTAAGCACTCAGCTGCTAACCAGAAGGTTGTGGTTTGACTCTTACTAGCTGTTCCATGGGAGAAAGATGAGGCAGCCTGCTTCCATAAAGATTTACAGCCTTGGCAACCCTGTGGGGGCAGATCTGCCCCATCCTGCAGGATTCTACGAGTCCGAATCAACTCAACAGCAATGAGTTTGGTTTGGATTCATGATGTAGTGGTTTAGAGCAGGGTTGGTAACCTGTGCCCGTGGATCAAAGCCAGCCCATGGCCTCTTTTTTGCACAGCCTGTGAACAAGAATAATGTTTATAATTTAAAGGGTTGTAGGGAGAAAAAATAGAAGAATATGCAACAGGGACCGGATGTGGCCGGCAAAATCTGAAATACTTACTATCTGGACTTTACAGGAAAAATTTGCTGAGCTCTGGGTTGGAGCCAGGCTTTGGAGCCAGCTGCCTGGGTTTGAAGTGTAGCTCTGCTACTTACCAGCTGTGTGACTTTGGGCAGATCACTTTACTGCCCTCTACCGCATTTTCCTCGTGTATAATACAGAGTTTGTATTAATAGTACTTAGGGTTGTTGTGATGATCACCAGACCAAACCAAAGTCACTGCCATTGAGTCGATTCCAACTTACAGCCACCCCTACTGGGTTCCTGAGGCAGTAAATCTTTATGGAAGTAGAGTGCCTCATCTTCCTTCCAAGGAGTGGCTGGTGGGTTTGAACCGCCAACCTCCTGGTTAGCAGTCAAATGTCACTATACCACCAGAGCTCCTTGTGATGATTACACATGTACTTAATTCTTGCTACAACTTGGTGAAGGAGGTACTATGAGTAGCCCCATTTTAGAGATGAGGCAGCTAAAGCACAGAGAAGGGCAGTGGCTTTTCCAAGGCTGCACAACAGGTGAACAGCAGACACCACCATTTGTGCCTGGGCAGTTCCGTTTCAGAGTGCTGCCCCCAACCATTGAACTGCATGGCCTGTTGAGCAGCACCTTGGAGAGTTCAGCTGCCAAAACTTGGGTATCTGGATGTTGATCTTAGTTTCCTAAATGGGGGCCTGGCGAAGCTGGTGGCCTGTGTTTCATGGCTTGGTGGCTGGTGTGCTCATTCTTCCAGGGGTTTTAAGACCTTCAACATTTGACCCATTAGAAGAACTGCCAGCGATAGCCCTAGGGTCAGGTCCTGGAGGGCCCCTGGGCGTCAGCCCTATGGTTTCTGGATCTTGGGGAAGTTTCAGGGTCTCAGTGGACACTTGGAGCATTAGCTTCTGCAGCATATTTTAACAACCAGTTTGGCTGGACCTGCTTGTATGGGTAGCCGCTAGCTCTTGCCGTGAGGTCTGGAGGTTTTCGGTGCCCTGCTCACCCCCAGGGGCCAGCGTTTGGTCCGGCGGGATTCCTAGGATCTGGATTTGCAGGAAAGTAGAGACACCAGGGCCAGGAACCGATGGGAGAATGTCTGCCCACAGGAAACGCCGATGAAGCTGGCCGTGGGTTTGCTTTTCTGACCAGGCAGCTGTTTACACTGCCCCGTGTGCGCTCTGCGGAGGCACGCTCCACTTCCTCCGTCTCCAGCTGTGTTTATTGGGCTGGGAGGGCGCCCAGGGACCAGTCAGCAGGGCCTCAGATTCCTGTGGGGACACGCCATGTTCCCGCCTGACAGAGTTGCTCAGTGTCCTGGCCTTTGGCACCCGCAGCCGGAACGTTTGCATCAGAGAGCAGCTGGGCCTGAGGGGAGCTTTTCATGCCCCTTCACTTCCTCCTTCCGTCAGGTTTTCCAGTGGATCTTAAAGATGATCCCATCAGCCTGGGGCAGCTGAACTCAGGCCCCCAAGATGCCCCCTCCAGCCCTTTCAGATTCTGACGCCCTCACAGATGTCCCTGTGGCCCTCTGAGGCCCCTTGTTTAAGCTGAACTCCACGTCACATAGGCGACCAGGGTAGAGGAGCCTGGGTGGGTGAGAGGGAAGAGGCAAGAATGAAAGGCTCTTTGGAGACAGCTTCAAAAGGCTGACTTTGAACATTGCTGAAGAAAACCAGAACGCTCTATTCCAGCTTCAGCCTGGACCTGGGCGTTTTCAGCTTTTGCTGAGTTTTCCATGGACATTTCCAGGGAAATGGTTCTGTTTAGGGTGATGGCCCATGCTCAGATGGCAGGTGTCCGAGGGGCACCCTGCCTATCACTGTCTGTCCTGATCGTGCACACATCTCGTTGGGGCCCCCACTGTGCACTGGCTGTACGGCAGCTCGGGGTTCATACAGATGTGAACAAGATGGACCCAGACACTGCTCCTCGGCGCATCCCACCTGATCCTGGACGCTGGGAGGGCCTGGGGCATAATGGAAGTGCGTGAGGTCAGGGATGGTCCTGGGGCAACGTGATGGTGCGGTCCCTGTCTAAAGGGGCAGCAGGCATTCCGGTGCCCGTGGGCTCCCACGTACCTCCTACTCCTGTGGCCGTATCTTCTCCCATCTCCTTGCTGGTTCCCTCCTTCCCCAGACCTCTGAGCGTAGGTGGCCCTCTGCACGGTCCTAGCCTTTCCTCTCTCTCGACCCTCTCCCATGGCAGCCTCCTCCCCTCCCGTGGCCTTTT